ATAAGGATTATTTTAGAAAACAAATTTAAGAAAGGGTCTGAAACTAGAAAAGAAATATAAAAATATTATATGTGTGAATTTTTTTCATTTTTTATATGTTTTAATAAGCTATACATGACAATAGAATGCATTTATGCACTTTGACATATAGATGGGATGTAATTTCTCATTTTTCTGAGTGTACATATTGCAGAATCATATTGGTCATGTAGTCACATATATACATACAGTAATAATGTCTGTTTCATTCTTCTATATTGCCTATCCCCACATCCCCTCCACTCCCCTCCCATCACTTCCCTCTACCTAATCTAAAGTAATGCTGTTCTTCCCTAGTGCCCCCCACCCCCGCCTTATTGTGAATTAGCATCCACATATTAGAGAAAACATTTGGCCTTTGGTTTTGTGGGATTGGCTTATTTCGCTTAGCATGATATTCTCCAACTCCAACCATTTACTAGCAAATGCCATGATTTCACTCTTCTTTAAAGCTAAGTAATATTCCATTGAGTAATACCCCATTTTCTTTACCCATTCATCTATTGAGGGACACTTAGTTTGGTTCCATAGTCTAGCTATTGTGAATTGAGCTGCTATAAACTTTGACGTGGCTGCATTACTGTAATATGCTGATTTTAAGTCCTTTGGGTATAAACCAAGGAGTGGGATAGCTGGATCAAATGGTGGTTCCATTCCCAGTTTTCTGAGGAATCTCCATACTGACTTCTATAGTGGTTGCACCAATTTGCAGTCCTACCAGCAATGTATGAGTGCACCTTTTTCCCCACATCCTCGTCAATATTTATTGTTGCTTGTATTCTTGATGATTGCCATTCTGACAGGAGTGGGATGAAATCTTAGAGTACTTTTGATTTGCACTTCTCTAATTGCTATCGATATTGAACACTTTTTCATATATTTGTTGATCAATTGTATTTCTTCTGTGAAGTGTCTGTTCAGTTCCTTAGCCCATTTATTGATTAGGTTATTTGGTGGGTTTTGTTTTGTTTTATATTTGTTTTTTGGTGTTAACCCTAGAGATTAATGCTTTATTGGGGTTCATGTGATAAAGATTTTCTTCCAATCTGTAGGCTCTCTTCTCACATTATTGATTCTTTCCTTTGCTGAGAAGAAGCTTTTTAGTTTCAATCCATCCCATATATTGATTCTTGATTTTACTTCTTGCACTTTTTATGAATTCTGAATTTTACTGTAAAAGTTAAACCTAGTTAATATGAGGACATCTGTGTAATTGTAATGCTAACCCTCACTGGCTTCATTGTGTATTAGATGTATTCATGTTCTTCTAGTATACAAGTCTTTTAAGATATAAAGCTTAAGAGAGCACTTTACCAAGTTGGTGTTCTCCAAATTAAACTTGTCTATAGTGATAATCTCTTTTAGACTTACATAAAAATAGCAAATTTAATTGGGGATTTATTTATGTCACTTAATGTTCTGTAACTGGATGAAGATAACCTTTTATCAGTATGATACATATTGAATTTTGTTACTTTTTACACTGGGATGGATTTTTTTTTGGGGGGGGGGTTGTACCAGGGATTGAACTCAGGGGCTCTTGACCACTGAGCCACATCGCAGCCCTATTTTTTTGTATTTTATTTAAAGACAGAGTCTACAATGAGTTGTTTAGTGCCTTGCTTTTTGCTAAGGCTGGCTTTGAACTTGCAATCCTCCTGTCTCAGCTTCCTGAGCAGCTGGGTTTACAGGAATGCACCACCGAGCCCATCTGGAAATGTATGTTTTAAAAGATAATAAGGACAGCCTGATCTCTTTAAAGGTTGATGTAAAATATGAAAGCATTTTGTCACTTTTCCACAAAAAGTTAAAGCTCTCTTAGCCTTTGTTTGTTTCATGTTTCAGATGTAATGTTGAATTGTGTTTTGTCAAGAGCTCCTCCTTACCTAAGATAAGGCTCTGCCTCTCACCTTGTTAGAATGGCTCCAAAATAGGCTAGACTCATTTAAAATAGACTAACTCATGTAAAGCTGTGTTCAGAAGAGGCTGACTTCCAGTACTAATACTGATTCCAACTAAATGAAAGGGATATCTGTAATATAATAGACATGGAAGTTAAAACCTACCTCAAGGCTGGTGAAACTGGTCTGCTGGATGTTTAAAAGCAAAAACTTGGAGACTAAGGCCAAGGAAGTAAAAGGGCCAAGGAAAAAGCAGCCAATATTTTGGCCTTTGCTGTTTAGAGTCATCCAGGATCCACGATCCAGGGAACAACAGGAACCCTCTACAAGGATCCTAGAGAACAGGAAGCCAACCAGTACACATTTTGCAAAGAGGAGGGTCATTGGAGTAGGAAATATCCCTGAGACTTCCAAGAGAGGACATGTATGGTCAGCAAGACTCTGACCTGTCCCAACATATGGCATGACTGGTAGAGGAAGACACAAAGAACAAAGAGGGTTCTCACTTGTTCCCAAGAGTGACACTTGGATAATCTTGGCTTACTCTTAGTAAGCAGTGGATAGGAACAAGGTCAATTTTGATTGACTTGGTCTTAAACACCTGGCAGGAGAGTATAACCAAAGCACAGTTGAAGGGAAAGTGAGGAACAAGAGATGGGTAAGCAAGAAATGAAAGAGACCAGGCAGAGACACACACAAGAGTTTGTCAGAGCTGACAAATAAACGCCATCTCTCTATAGGAGAGAAAGGCAAAACAGGCTTGAATTCTGGGATTTTTATGGGGGAGGCTTGTTATGCTCGAATTCGGTGATAGACCCAACCTGATCTTTTCTTAAAATTGGGAGCCATCTTGCCACAGAGCCCTGAAAAGATAATTTCAGTTTTAATTTAAATCGCTGCAAATTCTGAACCTGCTTGGAATGCCTGCCCATGCCTTGAACTCACCCATGCCTGGCTCTCTGACCAGATAGCAGCCCTCTCTGAAACTTTAGTGACGCCTCACAAATCTTGGCCTTCCCTGGCCAGATAATGCCCCTCTCTCAGGCTCTAATGGTCCTCATAAATTCTGATGTTGGGGCCAGCAAAAAATGTAAACTACCATTCACCATTCGTGTGATGCTCCTCAGAGTTCTGTTACCTGTAACCCCCCTTTGTGTAACTTTCTGGGCTATAAAGCTGAGCTGCAGGAAAGCTGCTGCTGCTGTCTTTTTCCCGCTGTTTTGGGAGGGAGAGGCAGCCCGGCCAGTCGAAATAATAAGCTTGCTTTAATTTGATTTTAATTGGAGTCAGTGGTCTTTTCTTGCATCCTGGTCTAACATTCGGGACCCCCAAAGACCACCAGAGACCCAAGATCGATGTAAGCAGCAAAGAGGTGTTTATTGCGAGCTAGCTCAGTCCTCTGAACGCACACACAGCAACTGGTGACGCTGAGAGGCCCTGAGCCCAGGATTTGCAGCAGTTTTATACATTCTTTGGAGAAGGCAGGGACTTCACATACATCATAGCATCCCTTAGCAAATCATCACACACCGCTGGAAAAATCAAACAACAACTCTAAAACATGATTAGCACATTTACTGGCGGGAACAAATTGGGTAGGGGTGATTGGTTACTACAAGAGGGGGATTCATTTGAACTGATTGGTTTAAGCCAAGAGGGGTGTTCGTGCTGAACTACATGATTTCCCAACACCATAAACTACTGGGAGGGTCATCTGGCAACCCAGGTATTTCCCTGTCTCATGCTGATTGGTGGCTGCTAGGGGATTGGTATGGGTCCCCACCTAGCCTGAGTCAGGGACACCTGGCGCAGCAGATCTCTCCTGTAATTTGTAGATAAACAACTCAGCAGGGTGGGTATGTGCCTAGGAGTGCTCTGTGAGTCTTTCCAAGGACAAGGGTCAAGCCCCCTTCCTTGGACAGGCTTTGCTCTGAGGTAGAGGCTGTTTTTTCAGACTTTACCTACAAGTCAATTCTTTGTGAATGTGGGTGCTGGGGTCAAGGACTGGGCAGACTTTACCTTAATGCACCTGAGCTATTAATTTAATTTCCCTTTTGAAATGGTGAAAAAACTATAATCATAAATCCTAACTTTACAAAGACTTCAGTAGACCCCTTCAGGAGTTAGCCCCATTAATCTTTCTTTCTCGGTCTATTTCTCAATTGGTTCACTTTGTTTCCATGTGTTGCTTTTCAGGGTCAATACACCTGCTATTTTTCTACAAGTTACCTGATTGTTCTTTAAATGCAATTTCAAAGAAACTCATGATCATGTTTTTTTTTTTTTAATTTTTTAATATTTATTTTTTTTTAGTTTTCGGTGGACACAACGTCTTTGTTTGTATGTGGTGCTGAGGATCGAACCTGGGCTGCATGCATGCCAGGTGAGCGCACTACCACTTGAGCCACATCCCCAGCCCCTCATGATCATGTTAACTAAAGCTCAGTTCTTGTCTGCAATGCCAATCCAATAACAAGGACACTGTGAATTACAACTTGAATAACTAGTGAATTACAAATTATAACTCCAACAAAGAACAGGAGAAATGTGGCCTTTGAATCCTCTCTTTATCTGCCCACCCCAATAGGCCTCCTTCTCCCTGAGGAGCAGAATCACAGCTTCCAGGACAAGAGTCACCGTGTTTCTCTGCTCCCAAAGCAATAAACATTGTTTTTCCTTTTTCCCAAAGGGCAGGGATCATGCTAAGACAACAACAAACAAAATAACAAAGCATTACTTTTTTTTTTATAAATAATTAGCACAAAGGCAATTATAATATTTCAGCCAGTCTCTGAAAATCATGAAGACAATAACTCATAATCATACCAGTGAAAAACAGACTGAGTTTATCAACATAGGAGGTTATCAAGATTTGCAGGTCTATTACATCAGGCTCAAATTGACTCAGGACAAACTTGTGACTCTACAGTCCTTTGTGATAGTTATTATTAGACACTTCCACACAAGAACCTCCAGTTTTTTTAATAGCCTCCAGTTTTATTTACTTATGGTAGTGTAAGGGTAAAAGAAATTGAAGTTAAAGCGTAAAAGTTGAGGAATCCGCCCGAGCTTGTGGTGGCTACAGTTGGCGTTGGGGCTTAGACTAGGGACGTTGCCGGGAAGTTGTAGAAGGGACGACTCTTCCCCATCCCGCCACCTGACAGGTCACAAACATGTCGGACAAAAGTGAATTAAAGGCTGAATTGGAACGTAAGAAACAGCGATTGGCCCAAATCAGAGAGGAAAAGAAGAGAAAAGAAGAAGAAAGGAAAAAAAAAGAAACTGATCAGAAAAAGGAAGCTGTTGCTCCTGTGCAAGAAGAATCAGATCTTGAAAAGAAAAGAAGAGAAGCTGAAGCATTGCTTCAAAGCATGGGGCTAACTACAGAACCCCCCATTGTCCCTCCTCCTATGTCTCCATCTTCCAAGTCTGTGAGTACGCCAAGTGAAGCTGGAAGCCAAGACTCTGGAGATGGTGCCGTGGGATCTAGGACGCTGCATTGGGATACAGATCCATCAGTTCTTCAGCTTCACTCAGATTCCGATTTGGGACGAGGACCTATTAAACTTGGAATGGCCAAAATTACGCAAGTTGACTTTCCTCCTCGAGAAATTGTCACATATACTAAGGAAACTCAGACTCCAGTTATGGCTCAACCCAAAGAAGATGAAGAGGAAGATGATGATGTAGTGACTCCTAAACCACCTATTGAACCTGAAGAAGAGAAAGTTTTAAAAAAAGATGAAGAAAATGAAAGTAAAGCTCCGCCTCATGAGCTGACTGAAGAAGAAAAGCAACAAATCTTACACTCAGAGGAATTTTTAAGTTTCTTTGACCATTCTACAAGAATTGTAGAAAGAGCTCTTTCTGAACAGATTAACATCTTCTTTGACTATAGTGGGAGAGATCTGGAAGACAAAGAAGGAGAGATTCAAGCAGGTGCTAAACTATCATTAAACCGGCAATTTTTTGATGAACGTTGGTCAAAGCATCGGGTTGTTAGTTGTTTGGATTGGTCATCTCAGTATCCCGAGTTACTTGTGGCTTCCTATAATAACAATGAAGATGCTCCTCATGAACCTGATGGTGTTGCCCTTGTATGGAATATGAAATACAAAAAAACTACTCCAGAGTATGTGTTCCACTGCCAGTCAGCTGTGATGTCTGCTACATTTGCAAAATTTCATCCAAATCTTGTTGTTGGTGGTACATATTCAGGCCAAATTGTGCTTTGGGATAACCGTAGCAATAAAAGAACACCAGTGCAGAGAACTCCACTGTCAGCTGCTGCACACACACATCCTGTCTATTGTGTAAATGTCGTTGGAACACAAAATGCTCACAATCTGATCAGCATCTCCACTGATGGAAAAATATGTTCATGGAGTCTGGACATGCTTTCCCACCCACAGGATAGCATGGAGTTGGTTCACAAACAGTCAAAGGCAGTAGCTGTGACATCTATGTCTTTCCCTGTTGGAGATGTCAACAACTTTGTTGTTGGGAGTGAAGAAGTTTCTGTGTACACAGCATGCCGCCATGGCAGCAAAGCTGGAATTAGTGAGATGTTTGAGGGACATCAAGGACCAATCACTGGCATCCATTGTCATGCAGCTGTTGGAGCAGTAGACTTCTCACATCTTTTTGTCACTTCATCATTTGACTGGACAGTAAAACTTTGGACAACTAAGAATAACAAGCCTTTATACTCATTTGAAGATAATTCAGACTACGTTTATGATGTTATGTGGTCACCCACCCACCCAGCCCTGTTTGCCTGTGTTGATGGCATGGGGAGATTGGATTTGTGGAATCTCAATAATGATACAGAGGTACCAACTGCCAGCATTTCTGTGGAGGGTAATCCTGCTCTTAATCGTGTAAGATGGACCCATTCTGGAAGAGAGATTGCCGTGGGTGATTCTGAAGGACAGATTGTTATATATGATGTGGGAGAGCAGATTGCCGTTCCCCGCAATGATGAATGGGCACGATTCGGCCGAACACTCGCAGAAATTAATGCAAACCGAGCTGATGCAGAAGAGGAAGCAGCTACCCGAATACCTGCTTAGTTCCTAAAAAGAGGAGTATAGCCTTTAGTGGACTGGGGGAAGGCTCTACAGTAGATCCTAAGACTATTTGCATGCTTTTGTCTAAATGATAATTAAAGAGAAATTTCATGGAAAAAAAAAAAAAAAAAAGCGTAAAAGTTAAAGGGTAAAAGACCGGGTGTTGTAAAGTTTCTAAACTGCAAGGTCTGAGTTAAAATGTAAAGGATTAGGTATTGTTAGGTATCTGTGCTACCTGCAAAACCTGAAATTTCTGTAGCTGTTGAGACAATGCTTGGAACTGCCCAGTAAATATTTCCCCTGACTATTGGTTGTTTAATAAGGGCTCTGTGTGGTCGCACATAGGCATTGCAGGGCCTGGACCAATCAGTTTAAATGTAACCCCCTCCTTAGGAATGACCTATCACTCCAGCCTGACCTGTTCCCGCCAATGAATGAACCAATCATGTTTAGGAGTTGTTATTCAATTTTCCCGCGCCAAATGATGATTTGTTCTGATGTATACAAAGCCCTCCGCCCTCCCCAAAAAGTGTACTTAAGCAGTGCTCAGCCCCTGCTCGGGGCTCTGGGCTGCTTTCCCTTCTTGAGTGGGCACGGAGCCCCAGCATGCTGGTTCAATAAATCCCCCCTTCTGCCAATTGCATGAGTGGTCACTTGGTGGTCTCTTTCTCCGACATTTCGCAGGATCCTTACAGTAGGGCTGATGAAAAACCAGCCTCTACCTCAAAGCAAAGCTTGTCCAAGGAAGGGACATGACCTTTGTCTTTGGAAAGACCCACAGAGCACTCCTAGGCACATTCCCACCCTGCTAAGTTGTTTATCTATAAATAACAGGAGAGATCTGCTGTGCCAGGTGTCCCTGGCTCAGTTAGGCTAGATGAGGACCCATAGCAACCACCAATCAGCAGGGAAAATAGAAAATACCTGGGATGCCAGATGACCCTCCCAGTAGTTTATGGTGATTGATAACATGTTGGGAAACCATGTAGTTCAGCAAGTACACCTCTTGTGGCTTAAACCAATCAGTTCAAATGAATCCCCCTCTTGTACTGGCCAATCACCCCTACCCAACTTGTTCCCGCCAGTGAATGTGCTAATCATGTTTTAGAGTTGTTTTATGATTTTCCCATGGTGTATGATGATTTGCTAAGAGACGCTATGATGTATGTGGGGTCCCTGCCTTCCCAAAAGAGTGTATAAAACTGCTGCAAACCCTGGGCTCAGGGCCTCTCAGCGTCACCAGTTGCTGTGTGTGCGCGGGAGGACTGAGCTAGCTCGCAATAAACACCTCTTTGCTGCTTACATCGATCTTGGTCTCTGGTGGTCTTTTGGGGGGTCCTGAATTCGAGCATAACAAGTCCACCTGAATAGGACAGTCTTTATGACAGTCCCAGAGAGGATGAATTAGGATCAAAACCTCCCCACCCGGCATAAAGAAGGAGTTAAACATTTGGTAAAGACTGTGGAAGGTGGAACCCAGTTTTCCTAGCAAACATCAAACAGTAATAAATTTGGAAGCAGCATTGTTTTCTTTGTTATTCTCTGCTCAGAGACAACAGTCTCTGAGAGTCTGCTTTGCTTTAGCCTTACTTTATTTTCACTCATAATAAATTTTTGTTGCTTGACTTTTCATGTCAGACTTTAAATTTTCTTTCATCAGGATGCAAGAATGGAGGTTTGAAGCTTCAGCTCCCCACTCTCCTGTGATACCATGACACATAAGAAGTAATTTTCAAGCCCATTATTGCAGGAAGGAATTCCTAAAAGCAGTGTTATGCTCGAATTCGGGACCCCCAAAAGGCCACCAGAGACCAAGATCGATGTAAGCGGCAAAGAGGTGTTTATTGCAAGCTAGCTTGGTCCTCCATGCGCACACAGCAACTGTTGTCACTGAGAGGCCCCGAGCCCAGTTTTTTCAGCAGTTTTTTACATTCTTTGGAGAAGGCAGGGACCCCCACATACATCATAGCATCTCTTAGCAAATCATCACACACTGCGGGAAAATCAAACAACAACTCTAAAACATGATTAGCACATTCACTGGCGGGAACAAGTTGGGTAGGGGTGATTGGTTACTACAAAAGGGGTATTCATTTGAACTGATTGGTTTAAGCCAAGAGGGGTGTTCGGCTGAACTACATGGTTTCCCAACACGTTATCAACCACCATAAGTTACTGGGAGGGTCATCTGGCATCCCAGGTATTTTCCCTGTCTCATGCTGATTGATGGCTGCTAGGGGGTTACTATGGGTCCCCACCTAGCCTGAGTCAGGGATACCTAGCGCAGCAGATCTGTCCTGTTATTTGTAGATAAACAATTTAGCAGGGTGGGAATGTGCTAGGAGTGCTCTGTGGGTCTTTTCAAGGACAAAGGTCATGTCCCTTCCTTGGACAGGCTTTGCTCTGAGGTAGAGGCTAGTTTTTCATTCCCCCCTTTGTCTGGAAACTTGGAAACCAATCATGGTTCCCTCAGTTGGGGGCCTATTTGGCCAGGATCTACATCTTGGTAAACCATAATCCTCAGGGGACAGTCTTCAACTTCCCAGACTCACTCAAAATTGGCCTCCTATATCCATCCAACCTGACTCGATTTACCTATCTATACTGTCTATCCATTTCTGGCTTCATTCCCCCTAATTTTAGGAACTCTTTATTGCTGTAAGGAGAAGGGGCGACGGCTTGTTCTGGTTGCTTCAGAGCTGAAAAGGGGTGTCGAACATTAGGGGGCTCGAAGACATGGGGGGCGACGTGGGGCACGTGAGTTCCTTTTTAGAAGTCAGTTCCATTTGAGGTCTGGTTGGGGAAAAACAGGTTGTCATCTGGGGATGGGTGCTTCTATGAGAGAAACAAAAACCATGAGTACTGAATAAATGTTGTAGCAGCTGGAACATGTCACTGTATAGAAGTTCCCTCACCAGGCTTTAACATCCCCAGTTATTAGAACTGTAAACATAACATTTAACTTTTAGGGTTACAGATGTCCTTCTCCTTAAGATACAGTTTAATAATTTTAATGTCATCTGATCTTGCAAAATTCTTTTACTAGTATGACCTCTGTGTCTAATAGAGAAATCTTTAATTCTGTTACTTAGGGCTGGATAACCACACTAGTAAACACTAAGCCTACCTGTATAGGTTAGAAATAGCTGTGGGCTTTAAACTAAAAACTACTCTGGCAGTTCCTTTTGATAGTTATCAGGCATTCCTGCCTAAGAATCTCTTTTGTAGCCTCCAGTTTACTTATTCTTGGAAGTTACATTTAACTATTATTATTATTTAAAATGCCCAGGAATAGCTGTGTTTTGGTTTTAACTGTCTTTATTAAGTGTTTAAGATGAAGTAGTCAAACTGACTTTTGTTTCTATCTATTGTTAACAGCTGTGTTTCCATGGGAGTCCTGGGGGAACTTTACAGCAGCTTTTCAGTTCCGCTAGTGCCATTTGCGCTAGGATGGGTCCAGGCCTTGCTTGACCATGTGGCTTCCCTTGGAAGCATCAGGGATGTCTCCCTTCTCTGATGACCCTCCTCTTCATAGCAAATGCACTGATTGGCTTTCTGTTCTCCAGTGGTCTCATTAATCTCCCTGATCCGGAGGTTATGTGCCCCAGAGTTGCAAAGCTCTTTAGAGATGTCCCCTGGATTCAGACTGACTCAGAGGACAAGAGCCAAATATTGGTTTTCTTAGCCCTTTTAATTTAACTTTAATTTTAAAACTTAATCTTAAACATCCAGCAAATAAATTTCAGCAGCCTTATATTAAGAGTACTGGGCCTTAATGTCTATCTCTCTATCCTGTAGGTGATAACTCATTATCTTAAATTAACCCAGGTTGTGTGTTCTTAAAGGAATACCTCTGCAAAACATTAACAGGCAATCTTTAGACCATTTATAAGAAAACTACAAAATAAAATTAACAAGAGTAAAAACATATTTAGTTCATGTAATAGCTACTTTGAATTTTGGCAGAGTTATACATTATAACCCCTGTTTGAGATCCTAGTAATCTTGACAAAAACCAACTTTAAATGTACTGAAATCTGGCCTACTTCTTTCATAGTCATTTTTACATGTTGTGAGATGGGACACAGAGCCTTATCTCAGGTAAGGCGGGGCTCTTCATAAATCTTAAGTACTGTAATTCTGAAGCTAAAATTTGCTTTTTAGACATCATTTTACAAAGCCTACATAAATTGTTGCTCAAGTTCATATGAATATTAGCTAACAGAATATAATATCACATCCAAAACATGAATTAAAGAAAGGCTGAAAGCTTTTAACCTTTTGTAGAAAAGTAGCAAAGTACTTTTGTGTTTTACAATATCAACCTTTACACAGATTAGACTCTCATTAGCTTAAAAATACATTTAAATTGTATCTCAGTGTGAAAAGTAACATAGAACTTTACATATCTTATTGATAACAAGTCCAGTTATAGAACACAAATGATATAAATAAATCTCCAACATGATTTCTTTTAAGCCTAAAATTACCATACTATTTTAGAACACCAGATTGATATAATGCTCTTTTAAAGCTTCTACCTTACAGACTTGTATACCTGGAAGATATGAACACATTAATAGCACCACAATTACATTGATGATTTTATATTAACCAAGTTTAGCTTTTAAAGAAATAACATATTACAATATTGAAAAATAACAGTTGTTGTCTAACCATAATTGTATAATTTTTAATTTCTTTAAGATTACTTGCTCAAAAAACTTACACATATAACCAACTTACATAGACCTTCTTTATCACTTACTTAAACCCTCTTACTTACATAATCACATAGACTCTCTTATCCAGAAACACATTTTCCCTCTATTAAATCCATACCTAAAACCTTTTAATTTCTCTTTTCCATCTGTTAACCTCCTTTTTTTTCACATTTTGAAACAATACTTGTAAATTTCTGAATTTAGGCAGATTATTTCATAGACATCAACATTTTATTAGGTTTTATTTTTGAACACCTAGAAAAAACTTATAAGCTTAATTTTAAAGACATCTTTACTTTTATCTGTTTACCCAATTTAAATTGAACCATTTGAATCACGTGAATCAAAGATATTTGGATCCTTTTTTTAAAAATTTCATGCGGCTCCTCATATCT